GTCGTATCTCTCTCTCTCTCTCTCTCTTTCTCTCTCTCTCTCTCTCTCTCTCTCTCTCTCTCCACCCTGTAAAAAAAAATCTTAAACATCAGAAAGTACATAACTAAAATAAATGTTTTTGGTATTTTTGTAATAAATTATCGATTTATTGTTAACTAATCGATTAAATTTATTTAATTAAAATTATAATAATTAATAATATAATAGTTATAACAATAACAATAACGAAACATGCACACATTTTAATGAAGAATGCAAATAATTGGGGGCCTAAGTCGCGCGATGTCTCTTCGAGAGATTTTTACTTGAGCCTTGTTTTTAAAATTTGTGAACCACCCCCGCCCCATAGGTGAAGGGTTGCAAAGAGGCTCATCGAAAAGGCCTTTCAAACAAGCTATTGACCCATTATTCCATTTAAGATTTTTTATCTATATCTTACCCCCAAGCCCTCAGGGGTGGGGGAGATTGTTGCTCCTTATGTCAAAAGATTTTTTGATACCATAAATGCTCTCCAAATTTCATTCAATCAATTTCATTATCTCTATCCGTTCAAAAGTTATTTAGGGATCCCGGCACTTTCCGAACATCCTGTATATATGTATATATACACACAATTTATATATGAATATAAAAGTGGATAAGTTATGTAATTAACAATTTACTTAATAATTAACTTGCTTAATAATTAATTTTCCAGTTTTGTGACCTGCCTAGATAAACGTTATTCGCTGTTGTTGTTTGCATTGAAATCAATTTTTTTTCCATAATGTATAAAATAGACTAAATTTTTTATATTTTACATAATTTTTGTGAATATTGCTGATTTAAAATATTCATGTAATTAATCGACTATGTCCTCGACTAATAAATTATATTTTAATATTTCGTCATTTTTATTCCTAATTCCTTCATCATAGATTGTTCTATTTTATATCCTTGATTTAAAATAAAATAATTTCTGATTTTTATGTGTAATATTTAATATTTATTTTTATTTCTCTAGTGTGTTGAATATTTTACATTTGTATATAAGATTGTGATATATAACATTGTGTGTTGTATGTTAGATAACGGTTTATCTTTATTTTTTTAATATTTTAATTTTATTATGTATTATTTTTATTGTTTATTGTATATGCAGTAATATAATTATTGGAATACATAATTTTTTTTTGTGTTATTAATTTCCAATTATATATTTTAAATTTGTTATCGAATGGAAGTGGATCTGTTGTACAATTATTCCCTTGTGCGGGCCCAATGACAAAAATTAAATTACCTTTGTAATTTTCTATATAATTGCGAAAGGCCTTACCATTATTAAAATAACAAAATAACATCGCATATCGTTTTGGCACTCGAAAATTCATTGACTCTGTCTCAATAAAGATAATATTTTTTAAGAATCTTGGTGGAGAATATTTGCTAGTCCACCAAGAACTATCCAATTCTATGCCCACAATATCCAAACCTTAAAAACATAATAATAAACAATTGCAAATATTACTAAAGATATATGCATATTAATACTATCTTAAAAATTTTTCTATACTAATATCTTAAAAATTTACCTGTACATTTTTGTAATAACCATTCTAACAATCCACATCCACAACCAATACTTGCAATTCCAGATAAATTAAACTTTTGTGTAATGTCACTTATCCAATACAGATCACCTATATTAGGTAACACCCATGATAATTTACAAAGCTTAAAATTGTTTAGTGTAGAAGATAGAGCAACAATTTCTTTCCATTTTTTGGCATTATATAATGATATAATATTTTCATTTATATCATTATTCATTTTTAAATTTGTTTATATTATTATGATAATAGTTCACTTATTAAGATTTAAGGAACAATTATTACTTTTCACAATTTACGAGAAGTAAAATATTATATAGCAGATTAACGAATGCATGAGAAAGGGTTCATCCATGAACTTGAATTATGTAATTTCTCCAATAATAGATTGGTTTGTTGCT